CTCTCTCTCTCTCTCTCTACTCTATCAATATGGATACTTGTTTGGTTGCCGAGAAAATTAAAGGTTGAATGATAGAAAACTAGATACTATTTATAATCGTGTGACGATCTTTGATTGAAATTTGAATGTGACTATCAGATGCTGAAAGCGCACCAAGAAGCAGAAGTTGACATTGTTGATCGCTTGCCGACGCCTTTTGGATTAGTCCGCTCTGGCGTAGCTCCTGATCATCCAGAAACCAAGGTCACAATCATTTTCAGATGATATATATATATATATATATATATATTAGGAACCTTTGAAGTTCATTGTTTTCATTTGGGGCTTCATTTTTTGGGTTTGGATAGCTTGGGGCTTATTCAATTTGGTTTCTGTTATGTGTTATCTTGCAAAATAATTCTCTTAATTTAGCTTAGTTTATCAGAAAACTTGCAACAGGTTGTGGTCAACCAGTTTTCGCGGGTTGCGCAGCACCAACGCTGCTCGTTTTTCGGTAATGTAACTCTTGGATCGTCCATTTCTCTTGCCGAGCTCCGCGAGCTGTATGATGTGGTCAGCTTCTAGCTTAAAATGGTTTTTTTGGCTTTGGCATTTTGGTTCCCACTTATCTGACCAACTTAATTTGTGTCCGAGCAGGTTGTGCTTGCCTATGGTGCAGAAAGTGATCGAGTTCTTGGCATTCCAGGAGAAGTATGTTTAGTGAACTTTGTGCTTGATGCACTTGCGTTTCTTCTTAAATGTTCAGTAAAATGCTTTTATTATCATCTAATTATTTTGCAAATTGATTTGGAGCTTCTGGTAGTTTACCACATGTTTGTTTTCTTGCTTTTTGGTCTTGATATATTTAGGATTTGTTAGGGATTCAATCGGCTAGAGAATTTGTTTGGTGGTATAATGGTCATCCAGATTGCAGATGCCTCAACCCGGACTTGAAGAGCACTGATACAGCTGTAATTCTTGGTCAGGTATCCGCAGTATTAATAGATTGTTATGGGAAGGTTGTAAATTTTGTCCATGGTTTCTTGTTCTCACGTGTTATAGAACTAGGAACTGGTAACTATGCATGCTTTAATTATGCATGCTCAAAACTGTTGAAATTTACTGAGGTATGAGTTCTTAGATGAGAAATTATAAAGTGAGAATTTTCTTGATGTCAGATTGCTACTTTTACTTTCAGGGAAATGTAGCTCTCGATGTTGCACGCATTCTTTTAAGACCACCAACAGAATTGGCCACAACTGACATTTCGAGTCATGCTTTGGCTGCTCTCGAGGAGAGCAACATAAGGTTTTTCTTCTCTTGCAACTTTGTGATAACCAGATACATTATTTTCTGTCTTTAGGATTGTGGTTTTCAAATCTTATTGGAACTTTTTCTATTTTAGGAAGGTGTATTTGGTTGGTAGACGAGGACCTGTTCAAGCAGCCTGTACTACTAAAGAGCTGCGTGAAGTTCTTGGTAATTTTAGTATCTTGTCAGCCTCTCTAACGTTAATCAGTCGATATTTTTGGTATGCTAGTGAATTTTCTCATCTGACCCAGAAAAAGATATTAATCTATGGAGTATGCTTATTTTTTCAGGTATTAGAGATCTGTATGTTCACCTACAGAAAGATCTTGTTAAAACCCCAATCGATGAGGTACATGCTATTGAGATCTTATCTCCTCTGCTCCCCTGCATCTTATATTAGTGTTATATTTAAATGCAGGCATGCTAATTGTGCTTTTCATTTATATATTTGTGTTTATACATTTTTATATTTTCTTTCCACTTATGTTATCCACGTGTGATGTCTTTTGTAAGGAAGAGCTGAAGAATAATCGGATTCAAAGAAGGGTTTATGAGTTGCTTACTAAGGCAGCCACCTCAGGACCTTCGCACCCTAGTTCAGGTCAACGTGAGCTACACTTTGTTTTCTTCAGGAAACCTGATAGGTTTTTTGAATCACATGAGAGAAGTGGCTATGTTTCTGGTGTCCGCCTTGAGAAGACGGCTCTTCAAGGTACTTGCCCTGTATGGTCAACGTGAGCTACACTTTGTTTTCTTCAGGAAACCTGATAGGTTTTTCGAATCACATGAGAGAAGTGGCTATGTTTCTGGTGTCCGCCTTGAGAAGACGGCTCTTCAAGGTACTTGCCCTGTACTAACACTTGTGATTTAATTGTTTCATTTATCTTGCAAAGCACTATGGTGTTATCTAATATGGAGAATCATGTACTATAGTTCATAACTTAGTGATACATTTAAGATTTAACACTAAATAATTGTAAAAAAGAATGAATGAGGTCATACTTTAACTCTGAATCATAAGCCGTTCTTGTAGTTTTTTAAGAAATAGATCGATAAATTAAAATGTCTGATTGTTTTCTTTTGTTGGCACTTATCATTTATTCAACTTGTAGGTGTTGAACCTGGAAAACAGATAGCTATAGGCACCAATCAATATGAAGACCTTGGATGCGGGTACCTTCTGCATCTTTAGCTTTGATTCTTCATAGCTTTTAATCAAACGGGAGTTGTCATTTTAAAAATTTAGATGTAGGTCAAACACATGATTTTTATGTTGTAAATCATGTCATGCGATGCAACCCCCTATTGAGGAAAGGAAAGTTCATGTTTCTTTGTGCAAAAGCGGATTAAGGGCCCGTTTGGAAGGTATACTCAAATCATGATTCTTGATTCTGACATTTGAAATTCAAAATTTTTTTAGAGAAAAACACTGTAGCAAAAGCAATGATTTGAGTTTGAGTATATGAAACAAACGGGCCTTAATTGACCTTTTTTCTGCCACTTTAAAGTAGTGTTATCCTTTTCGTTCATTGTGAACACAAATGTTCAAAATGAAATCCTTATTACTGTGGAATGTGCTCACCTCTCATAGGTCGGTGCTAAAGAGCATTGGGTATAAATCATTACCAGTTGATGGCTTACCCTTTGATCATAAAAAAGGTATGTTGCATTCATATTTTACTAGGACTCTTAAAGCTTGCATATGATTTTTGTTTTGTTTTCAGTGGTAGAGGTTTGTGTACTAGTTCATATTTTAGACTTTGAACTTCAGAGACGACAAGGACAAATCAAATACGAATTTTAATGAATCTATTACTCATTTGACCATCCCTGCATCACAATGATTCTAAACTCAGATAACATATGTTTCGAGAGCCTAATTTATTCGAATACTTTTGTATTTTTAGGTATTGTTCCAAACATTAAAGGTCGAGTTATAAGTGATGCGCAAAAAGATCCTCCAGTTCTTGAGAAGGGTTTGTATGTATGCGGATGGTTAAAGAGAGGACCAACAGGAATCATTGGCACAAACCACTATTGCGCTGAAGAAACTGTAAGTGGTCTTTTGCATGTGAAGCATCTTTGTTATACAAACTGTTACAACTGAAAATACTATCTTAGCGAATTAAACTGGCTTACATGACAGGTCGCAAGTATATCGGAAGACGTTGAGCGAGGATTAGTGGCGTCCTCAGCTAGCTTGCCCAAGCCTGGCAGAGAGGGTCTCCTCCAGGTGCTGGATGATCGTAATGTTAGAGTTCTACCATTTAGTGCCTGGGAAAAAATAGATTCTGAAGAAAGGCGGCTTGGGAGTTTAAGAAACAAACCCAGGGAGAAACTGGTAACATGGGAAGACATAATGAAAGTAGCAGACTAGCAGCTGAATAATGTTTTCAGCCAGTTTTTATTTTTAATTTATTTCAGGTTTCTCACAAAATAATGGAAAGGTTGATATGTGACATTGATGCGATTCATTTTTCCTGTTGTAATATCCTACATAAGTTTGTTGTCAAGAATTCAATTATTTTTT